CAAGCATATTACATATGCTACAGGTTTCAAGCCGAGTCCGAGAAAAACAAGCGGCGGCGGCTGCACTGACGAGCTGGCGAGGCGAACGACAAAAAGCGGTCGCCCGTTTTCTCATGATGAATCGCTCACGTCATCCTGCCATTCATATTATAAGATTCCTAAACACCCTGTGTCAACCAAGCTCATACTCAGGGGTTCATCCAGAACGATGAAATGTAGGAGAACGGAAATCCATCCAGAATGCGAAGGGCCGGCTATGAGTTAAGGGGTTTAGGGGCTGTAGGGTTCAGCAACTCGGGCTACTAGGGTTTACTTAGAGGGTCTTACCCTACCCCTTTTTTAAGGTGCCTACTTTTTGAGATAACAGATCCAAATCCTAACCATAAAACTAGGTATCCCAACAAAGGGGTAGGGTATGAGCCTCTAGGTAAAGGTTTAGGGTTTAGGGCTCAGGGGCTTGGGCATGGGCATAGTAAGGTTGATAGCACACCCTGAACCCTAAGCCATGTAGTCCTGAAGCCTAGGCCCCACTCCAGGGGCCTGAATCTCCGTCTTCTCGTAATGATTGTGAGGTTTCCATTTTACTACAGGTTTGAGGTCTAAGGACTTTTAGAAAGACATCATAACAATGAACCTACAACAAAGATAGGCTTTTGAGGGTAGAGGAAGGTCTTGTGTCTAATATGCTTTAACTTGTGGGGTTGTCAACTTTAATGTCCACCTATAGTCTCCATCGGAGTTCCATGTGTTGACTTAGCCAGTTTTATATTTTGATTTTGGATCTTGCAAGGTAACCCCAGAAGGGAGCTACAATGGAGACTAGTTTAGGATTTAGTGTTCATGGTGCAAGTTTCAGTGTCTATATGGTTCTTTAGCTGGAAGCTTAGTGTTATGGTTCAGGGTAAGGGCTGATGTCCCAGACCTTCCAAAATCCCTTAATTAAGGAATATACCTTAAATCATATTAGGGATCCTATTATAATTTAAGGTATATTCCTTAGTTAAGGGATTTTGGAAGGTCTGGGGTTATCGGACATGTACTCTACAGTTGGGTAGGGCAAGCTGCCGACTGAGACGACAATCGCAAGACTCAAAGATGCTTCTGTGAGACTCCAGCATTGGGCTTAAGGTAAAAGCCAGAAAGTTGGAATATGATTATCCTAACCCTTCTATGGTAAATTATAGGGTATCCTACCAAGAAACCATATTCCAACTTTCTGGAGTTCCCTTTAGGGTGCGGTTAGGGCCCCAAATCCAACCCTAAACATTCAGGTTTAGGGTTAGGGTGTGTTTCGCCAAATTCCACCGTGCTTTCGCTAAGGAGGCCTTCAGCTTGGGGTCGGCATTCATACGTTCTTGAATCAGCCGGAAGACCCAGACCTTCCAAAATCCTTCAATTAAGGAATATACCTTAAATCATATTAGGGATCCTATTATAATTTAAGGTATATTCCTTAATTAAGGGATTTTGGAAGGTCTGGGGACCCTGCCCTGCATAGGGCCTGTAGGCTTAGAAATGCTACAGCCGCGCCTGCCATGTTGCGAAATTCTTCTGGCCACCCCTAAATGCTGCAAGCCCACAGGCCTGTAGAACCTTGTAAGCTTAACATGCCCGGATGTATCATACCGGGTATGCCCAAGTTCACGCACGAGAGGTTTCGAGCCATAGCCACAAACCGCCTAGGCCTGACACCACGCCCCGCGTTGAGATCGACGCAAAGGCCACAGCGGATGTGGCTGCGGGTAGGGTTGGGGCTGCTTGAGGTCCACTTGAACCCCAAAAGTACGCAAAATAACGTCCCAACACCTATAAGAGGCTACGGTTCTGCATACTTTGGGGGGCCAGGCAGGTAATTATTATATGGCGTAGGACCATTCAACAGATTAGGCCTCAAAAATTAAGTTTTACGGTCTGCAGGTTGTTACTTTTTGGATGCGCTTCCAAACCCAAGCCACTGCTGACGAGAACCTGAGCCCACTTGTGCACCGAACTCCAATGGAAGTATTAGTCAACGACTTTGCGGGATGTATGGGATATGTTTAAGTCGCGTCGCATCGAAGATGAAGTGGGTGTACCTAAAGCTGAGTCGGATACTTGGTCTCATCAACAAACTTATTGCTTTTATGAGACAGTTGCCAGTGAAATTTAGAATGCCTGCTCATGCCACTGGATTGTTTTTCTGGGGTTTCGAGTTTAGGGTATAGTGTTTAGGGTTCGAGGGTCTAGAGGTGTCAGCGACGTGATCCACTCACACACAATACAAGCACAGTGCTGTAATATGTCCCTGGCCCGCCCCCGGGCGCGAAAAACAAAACTATTCTTCATATGCAGGCCCAAAATTGCAACCGATGTGTCCAGGAATACCCCACACTGTGGCGAACACTGGATCGCCAAAGCCTCAGATAGGGCTATCCTAATTCGGGATTCGGGTGGTTGATAATTAGCTCGGATTTAGTGCTTCTGGATTATATATATAATATATATATATATATATATATATATATATATTCAACGGTTGAGAGTTAAGGGTAGGGTTTGAATGCCTCAAGGTTGTCGGTGGTAGCCGGAGTGCACAAGCTGGGAGGTATTCAAGAGGAGGTCGGCTTCCGAAACACGCACGGCTATGGCGGTGCTAACGAAGGGAGCTATCCGTCTCTTTTGTAACCAAGATGCTGCGCATCCGAGTGCTCGTGAGAAGCAGCACAAGTGTGTTCTCACTTGCATGCCCTCCTTTCCCCTACTTCAGAGATCAGGAAATCTTTGCACACACACAACCCTTTTACTTCTCCACATCGGGCCCCTGCTGTAAGGGCTCTAGCCCTTCGTCTTTCCTCTTCCGGGCGGACTTCATCTCGGGGTCCTCCACTATGCGCCATCTGTGTCGCATGCTGTAGAAGAGTTCGAGCTCCTTGTGGTTCTGGATCTTGGTGAGCGCATTTGCAAGTTGCGCCTCACTATGCACCCACCGTAAGACGACACCTGTGGCATCCTGTGACTCCTTCAGTCCCATCAGTTCGATGTTGGCTCGCTTCTCGGCGCCGTTGACGGTGTACATAGCGGTCGCGAGCTTGTCGTAGACATTCCGAGAGTCTGTGATGACGCAGCCAGGTACTCGTGATACTGTTTCGTCTGGTTGTCGTAGGTTGGGACGACCATAGAGCATTTCACTCCATTGGTACCGCACGTAGTACAGCAAGTCTTCCCCGTTCACAGCCGCCGCAGTCTCCGAAGCTCCTGGGCTTCGACACGCGCGATCAATCCTTGTCGAGTGCCAACTAATCGGACTCACGGCTTCAACTTCTCCTTTTAACAACCCCTCTGAAGACGCTCCTATCAGTATTCCCTGCGTACTTCCGCCATCCACTCGGTTCTGGTTAGCGGCGTCTACCCAGGCATAGAAGTGCATTTCGCCCACCTGTCGCGTGATCAACATCTTATGATCCTTGCGGGCTTTGACATTTTCTAACAGCTGGTTCGCCTTAATCAGGGTGTCCACGGTGGAGTGGTTGACTTCTGAAAGCATCAATCCTACGTCCGCTGAAGCATGAGGGGCCACCTGCTGCGCATGCCAGCTTAGTCCTCCAAGGAGTGCTCGCAGTTTGGTTTTCTCGTAATCGGTAGTGGGGGCTTTCCGCATCTTCCTACGGGAGGAGCTCAGGTTGATGGCTTCGATTCCTTCCGTGTAGTTTGGTTGGGATAACTGGAACCCGTGTTCATTGGCCTCAATCAGGACTCCACATTGAACAAACTTATCCTTATCCCAGTCCCCCCACTTGAAGCGTTCCTGTATCTGCTTGAGAATCCCTTGCCACTCCATGTCATCATCTCGGCCACCAAACAGGAAGTCATCAACATGGCCCGAAATCATTCCCCTCACTTCGCCTTCCTTACGCCAAACCCATGCACAGGAGTCAGACCACAATCTTTCCAGCCCCAAAGAGGACAGAAACTCGGCTACAGTCTTGTACCATTCTAAAGGAGCATCTACTAGCCCGTAGCAGGCTCGACGTAGTCTGGTGACCGATCCTGGTGCGAGTCCCATGGCTGTACAAATCTCATCGCACGGGGCACAAAACAGTTCTGTAGGATATTCACGGCCCTGCAGAAAAGCTCCACTCACGTCGCCCTTCATCAAGCGCCATCTCTTATTGGCGGCCAACTGCAACAGAAGCTGTCGGGTCTGCCTCGTCATGACCGGGGCCGTGGTAGCGCGATGTTCGTATCCCGGGTCTTGATATCCTAGAAGAACGGCACGTGCTTTGGGTTTAACGCTGCCATCATCCTTGACTTTCCAAGTCAGTATCCACCGCATACCGATCACCTGGTCCTGGTGGGGCTTCAGGTGGCTAGGGAGTGCCTCGAATGCTTTCGCTGCGATGAAGTTCTTTACTTCCACTCCTTTGGCGTCTTGGAACCGGGCTCGATCCTCGGGAGATAAACGTCTCTCGCTCACTTCCACGGCCTTCCGTTTCAGGGCACCCACGAAGAAACTTTGCATGTCTCGCGACATGCCCTCCAGTCCTCGACGGCTCTCTGGAACCTCCACAGCCACTTCCACTGCAGCGTCCTCGTCAGTCCAGAAACTTGCATGTTCGGCCACCCAGGCTGACGGTCTTACGTCATCCCGCCAGTGGCCCGCACTGGAGAAAAGGCCTGGATGGGGCTCTCCGGGTGCCAACCTTCGAATTACGCTGGGTTGGCTTGTGCCGGTCTCCAACTCGTCCGGCATCTCTTGGTCTCCGGTGTTCAGATCTGCCAATGGCCGTTTGGTGGTAATCCGATGTCTTGTAGGAGGTGCCTCCTGCTGGACATCCTGAGCGCGGGCCCATTCCGCTGCACTAGGTACTTCGCCAGAAATATCTTGATACTGATTTCCGCCCACTTCATCCGCCAGGCGGTTGAACGTCCAGGGCGTGGAGTCCTGTTCGGAGAGTCCCTCCACAAGTTCTTCTCGATGGCTAGCTGGTCTCAACTGTTCTGGACTACATTTGATCAAGCTTCGGCCGCGCACGCACCAGATTGAGTGCGCCGGCCTTCGCTGCCCATCTGCATCCTTCCTGGTCTCCATGGCCAGTACGCGTGCCGGTCCGAGGAACCGCCCTTGGTTGGTTCCGGGTTGCTTCTTACTCTTGTTGGACTCTTGGGTCCTCCAGAAATACACAAGGTCTCCCGGCTGGTACACGATGTCAGGTCTAGACCTGGAATTGATGGCCCGTTGTATCCGCTGTTGCGCATTCCACTCTGCCAGGGCTTTCTCAGCTTCCGCTCGTAGGTTCGCCTCTCGGCGAAACTCCGCCTCAGAGTTGTTCAGGATGGGCCCGTGTTCGGGACCAGGTAGCTGCACGAAATGCCCGGTTGTATCAGGACTCACTCCCAGTACATGCTGTGTTGGCGAGAATCCTCTCACCATCTCTCGTTGATTGAAAACAGATACAGCAAGACTCAGCAGTTCCTCCGCACTGGCCTCTCTTTCCGACTGCACCATCTTGGACATTAGCTGCTTAATCCCCTGGATGGCCTGTTCGGCCACGCCGATCTGCCAATGAGCTTCTCCCGGTATGATATCCAAATATATGCCATGTCGGTCACAGAACCCTTCTACGGACCCTGCTCTAAAGCTGCCAGCGGGGTCGAGCCTTATGGTCTTCGGCTTCCCGAAGTGTTGGATCCAGCCTTCGTTCAGGAAGTGAAGGCATACGGCCGCGTTGGGGGCTTGTGCTTTCCCTTTTGTCAGGATCCTAGCCGCCCTAAACCGCGAACCTTCATCAACGATCACCATAAAGTTCTGCTGCTCTCCCGTGACCGGGTGGGTCCAGTGTCCTACGTCCGCAGTTAAGGTGTGGAACTTTGGGGGAAGCGGTTCTAAAGAGGCAACTTGTCGTGGTTGGACTTTTCGCTTCTCTTCACACACTGCACAACGAAACGTCTTAGCCAACTCGAGGACTCTAGGATCCGCGTTCCTTCTCTTGAGGGCGTCCACCATGTGACGAATGCTCCCATGTCCCGTTGCGGCATGCAGCAAGTAAAGCTTACGTTTGATAGCTTCGTCTTGTTTGGAGGCTTGTTGCTTGAGGGGTCCGCTGCAGGGTCTACGGTCTTTAAGGACATAAGCTTGTTCCGGGTCTTCGTTGGAGGGGCCTGGGAACCCAAGGCTCAACAGGTGATCTCTTACCTCGGCTCCTATCTGGGTCCACCCTCTGCTACAGTAGGCACTTATCGTCACGCGATTCCCTGTCCAATCCTGCGTTCCATGCCACTTACGTCCCGAAAACTGAATAACCCTGCCTGCCTTTCGTCTCAAGCAACCTTCCCTTCATCCAATGCCCTTGTCTCAAGCGCCTTGTGCCTGCCTGCTTAGCCGCTTCCAACTCAGCATCAGAACTCTCCACCCACAACTCTCCCTTTTCGTACGCTCCTAGTCCTATCAGGTAGTTTGGGGTGTTTGGGAGATTATGCACATCTCGGTGGAGGTCCAAGTGGCAGTTGTCGTTGATAACGAAGGAAGTACACGTCACATGCTGAGGGCTCCAATGCTGCAGATAGCCTAAGATATACCTAGTCACTTCAGGGAACATCTGGGTGTGCTTAGTCACGCCATACTGGTTACCGTATGAGTACAGGCCAAAGGCGAGGTAGCGGGCTTTCTGCTCGCGCACAGGGCTTCGGTGTTGCTTCGAAGGTTTGTAGGGAAGGAGTTCAAGGAGTTGTTCACAGGCCTGGTGCTGGTAGTTTTGGGCCTCCCGGAGCTGTTTCGCGAGGGTCTCAAGGCTCATCCGAAGTTTCTCGTCCACGATATCAGCTTCGGCGCTCACCGCCGTGGGGTTCCCGAAACACTCTAAGGTCCCTGCTCCTACTTCTTCCGAAACCAAACTCTGGTCTTTACTCAAAGAATCACGTCCCTGAAGACAGTTCGCACACGCAACAGGCATCCTTGAATCCCTGACTTCACCGCACACACAAAACTCTCCCTCTCCGAATCCCTCCAAAAGTTGGGTGATTCCCGCGCACTCCTGGATCGTCCCGTGGTGGGACAGCTCTTGGCACAGGATTCTACTGATTCGATTCACGAACTCCGTGGTGTACCTGTCTTGTTCCTGTTCCCTACAACCAAGACAACTTCCGTGCCGGTACTGCCTACCACACCTACAGGGTAAATCCATGCTTTGAGCCAGCCGCTTGTGAGTGGTGGCCAACCGCCACCCTTTCTGAATCAACTGTTGATTGCGAGGGTCACGAAAGTTCACACTGCAACCCTTGGTCACCGCAGAGAACAAACCCTGTTTCGTGAACAACTGTTGGCACACGGGGAGTCTCCAGGCCTGGTTTCTTTCAGGAATCTCTACCGTCACATGTATTCCTAGCTGCTTGCACGTCGTCACTACACATGACACGCCTAGGAGTCCTCGGAGCTCTTGTTTCCGCTGTTCCTGGATTTGGGCTTTTTGTTCGGGGCTTTTATTGTTGAGGTTTTGGAGGGCTGAGTAGGAGTCGCACTTCGGGGCTAACCAAACATGCTGGGGCCTCTCTAACCGGATCCTTTCTAGCTGGAGCTTGAGGCCTTCTTTATCACTAAGATCGCAGGAATTCCACTGGCCGCAACTCACGGCAGCCTCTTTGTCCTCGTTCAGTTCCCGGATTCTCTCGGCAAGGTTGCTGTGGGATCTAGTCCCACACTCCATCAAAAGAGGTCGATTATAGCCCGTCAGAGTCTGAAACAAATTAGGCACCAAACCCGTCGATCTATCTTCAAGACTCCGCGCCTTCTGCAACCCAAGCTGCAACTCTTCAACCGATAACCCATGACCCTGAACTTCTCGACCTTCCGTGTCCTCTGCCTCGCTCACTTCGGTGGCTGTGGGGTCACCTTGGTGAACGAGCGGTCCGTCATGCTGTCCTCGTCCGGGTAGGCGGTCTGCTTGCGCGGTGGCTCCGCCTTGAGGTTCGAGAGTTCGTCCTGGAGCTTGTGGATCATGGCCTCCATCTCGGCCATCTTCTTCGCTTGGTCGTCGATCACCTCCGGGGAAGACGCCATCGACTCGGAAACCGCTGGCTTCTTGGGCCTCAGCAAGGCCTTCGGTGCCGCCGTAGGGTTCGCATTCCATGAGCTCGCCGATGCCATACTCGAACGGTATCCTCCCGGAACTGGTCCTCCCAGGGCCTCCATTGCCATGCGGGGCTCCAACCATCCGGCCAATCGTCGCAGCCGGGGATCGCTGGTCTCGGGATTCTCCTTGGCCGTCTGGACCACCCACTCCCCATAGCTCCTCAGCTCGCCGAGGAACTCGTGGTAGCGCCGGTCCACATGCTTCCCGAAGCCCGCCACGTCCATGGACTCCGCCTGCGTCACCATCATGATCTTGTTCAGGGCCTTCATCTCGAGCTGGGGCTTGGTTTCGTTCCCCGTCAACGTCATGTCCAGCTCGTTCTCGCAGAAGGCCTGGAGCTGGGCCTTTGTCTTGCTGGCCTTCCGCATCTCGCGAGTCGCCTTCTGGAGGCCGGTGGAGTTGAGCTCGCGTTGGCTCGGCTCCGTCTCCTTCCCCTGGAGCTCTAGGAGTCGCTGTCGGATCTCCACCTTCGTCCACGCGGGCGCCGGGTGCTCGTTGTACTTCAACAACTCGGCCACCAACTGCGGCTTGGTCATCTTGTACATGGCTCCCAGTCGACAAAGGGCGAGGGCACAAGGAACTCAAAGATCGGCTTGAAGCTGAAAGGCCTCCAAAGGATTCGCTTCTGGTCTCCTGTGTGGCTTCCGGCTCCGTTCCCTTACAGCATGCGCCAAGACATGGAGAAGCAAAACGCACTCTCCTACGACTCGGAAATTCACTACTCTCAGATTTCCTGATCTCTTCATTAACAAGATTTGCAGATCTCGCATTGGATCCGCACCCCTGTCCCGTTGCATTTGGGACCTCCGTTTTCTCCACGGAACTAGAGTCACGGAGGAGTTGTCCCTACTCGGAAGCTGCTGTCGTACTTACCAGCAGCATCTCTAAACTAGGGACTTCTTGCTTGGTACACATGGACCCCTTGTACCAGTCTTCTGTCATATCCAACAATTGGTGTCCTGTTGCTGAGCGCTCAGCACGGATCACCCGATTCGGGTCCAATTTCCGAAAACAAATCAAATCGCTTGAAAAATCTATGATCGCTCCCAAACTCCTCAGAGAGTCCACCGAGAGCAACAAAGGGCCGCATCCTTGGTCGAGACAATGCACCTTCAACTTGCCAGGCTTCTCCCCCGCCTGGATCTGCAAGTGCGCGGTCGAGGCGCACTGGTTTTCTGAGCTGTTGCCGAAGCCAAAGACCGGACGTTCGCTCAGGTCCAGCATGGCAATCCCGGTAGATCCATGCTTACTTTGGTTGAGCTTCATGATTGCCTCCATCGCTTCAATGGAGGCCAAGGTGCGGGTTGCCCCGCCGTCCAGTACAGCTTTGCCCTGTCGCATCGCGTCCGTCGTGGTGGTCACTCCCATAGCGTAGGCATCCGCTTTCTCGGTCTTCTCCTCGAGGTAGCATATGAAAGACGAGGTTGCCTCCGGTGTCGTCGTCACAGCAGCCGTTGGGGGCTGTGGGCAGTTGGCGACTCTGTGTCCTTGGCGTCCACATCGTAGGCAGGTCATCTGTGAGTCGTCCTTAGCACCTCCGCCACGGCCTCGGCCACCGCCTTTGGAACCCGTCCGGTAGTACTGCCTGGAGAGCTTGACGTCATGTTGTCGTGCTCGGGCGTCCTTCAGGGTCCTTTTTGCGTGGTGTATAGCTGCCATCGCACTTTGAGCCGCATTCTCCTGCTCATCCCACGCCACCTTCTCCTCGGGTTCCAGCTCGTCGTAGATGTCCTGGTCCTCCACGGCGTCGTCCTCCTCCTGGTCCGGGTCCTGTTCCACATAGTCCCCGAGATAGCCACTCTGCCGGTGTCCAGACTCACGCTTGAGGAGCTCACTGCCTGACCACTGGTTTCGCAATTCTTGAGCAACCTTCTGGAGGGAGAAGTCGCCCTGCAGCGCCGTCTGAACGATGTTCCGCTCGTGCGTGGTGAGGCCGGCGTCCTGCAGGAGGTACCATCCCTGCACGTAGTCTGGCAAGAGTTCTGGCATCGCTTCCGCACGTGGTCCTGAGTCCCGGGTTGCGTAACTGGACTGCCACCACGAGTGGTCGCTGGACCACCATGGTTCGTAGCCCCAGTTGTTCCAGCCGCTCTGGGGCTGGTAGTAGCTCCAGGATCCATAGTAGGAGGAACTATAGTCTCGGCCCCAGGTGTGCTCTTCGTCCTGCTCGTACTCGTCCTCGGCGTCCGGGGCCTCAGTGGTTGATGCCGTTGGCGCCGCACTCTGTACATCTTGTCGGGCTGGGTCCGTCGAGTAGTCAGTCGAGTCCAAGCTGCTTCGCCGGGAACCATTCCATCGAGAGGTCCAGGAAGGTCCACTGGTCCTTGGCGGGACTTCTGCTTTTCCTGGGTCGTGGTGGGGAGCTACTCGGCGAAGGGCTTGTTGGGCACGAAGATATACTTCACATTTCCGGGTCACATAGTCGTTAATCGTCTCCTGGGGTCGACGGCGGCTGTGCTTGAAGTACTTATTCAAGAACTCACTCAGCTCCGATATCTGAGGCTTTCCCAGACATGACCTCAAGTGTCGTAGAAGAGCCTCGACGCCGCCATTGTAAGACAGCCAGGATGCACCTTTTCCTGCGACCAAGCGGCGAGCTGACCCCGTGAGCTCAGCGATGATCTTTGGCCCACAAAGATATCGTTTTTCCTTGGCCACAGACTGTTCGTACATCTGGCATGCCTCCTCGAAGTCGTTGAAGGTCCCTGCCTCTCCGTCCCAGATCGGGACGCCATCCTTGGTCCGGCTGCCCGAACCACCTGCACTTGTAGACATTGAATCTGTCGGGGGCGAACACCCGCAGACTGGTCCCTGGATCGTTCGGTTTGGTAGAGCTCAGAAGAGCTCCGCTACCATGAATGCCTCAAGGTTGTCGGTGGTAGCCGGAGTGCACAAGCTGGGAGGTATTCAAGAGGAGGTCGGCTTCCGAAACACGCACGGCTATGGCGGTGCTAACGAAGGGAGCTATCCGTCTCTTTTGTAACCAAGATGCTGCGCATCCGAGTGCTCGTGAGAAGCAGCACAAGTGTGTTCTCACTTGCAGGGTTTATGTAGGGCCTGAGGGTTAGGGCTAGGGGCTTTAGGCCTTTTGGGTTTCAGTATGGGCAATGCAGAATTGACGCTCAGGGCCCGGAGGGAGAGCTCGGACCTAAACCACCCAGACCCTCCAAAATCCCTTAATTAAGGAATATACCTTAAATCATATTAGGGATCCTATTATAATTTAAGGTATATTCCTCAATTAAGGGATTTTGGAAGGTCTGGCCATAAACCCTTGACCGGTTCAGGGCTTGCAGGGCTTGGGGGCCTTAAACTCCAAGCCGTAGCGCGCGTGTCGAGGAATGGAGAGGCTTTTGAGTTGTAAGCAATATTCGGGCCTCCCAGAGGATCCCTTTTGAGGCATCCAAGTGTTTGAAACCAGATATTCTCTGAAATTAATATACTGACATGCAACTATCATGCCAGCATTATTATCCTAAATTATCCTAAACCCAGCAATTAGTTAAGAGGTACCTTGTACGCTTTGCGGTTGCTGTTCGACGTAGGACGCAGGTGGTGTTCTGGAGTGTTGCGGCAGGCCCTTGTCCCGTCTGGCCTGTGCCCACAACCCCAAAGAGCAAAAGCCTATAAACTTGCTCTAGCAAGGTGCCTTGTAATTATCTGTTTTACGGAGTTTGTTGTTTAGGAGAAAGCGCCATCCGGACTCCGTGATCTTTGGCAAGTGTTCTCGAGCCTGCAAACGCAATCTGGAAGCCCGAGGCCTCTAAGGCCAAGCTGCCGTCGTGATGCAATTTCCTCCCTCCTGTGGCTGTAGACTTCAAAGCAATGCCTGGAGATAGTATTTTTCTATGCTCGCAACTATCTGCTCGTCCATTCTTCTACCTTGGACTTTATGGGGAGTGGGCCTCAACTGAGTATACATCGCACCGGAGTAGCCATGCATCCAAACCAGCCGCGCGGCTCTATGTACAGTGCTTTCAGACACTGCCGGCATCGTTACAGCAAGACCGTTTACAGGTAGTACCTGTGAATCCGAAATCTGTGGATGCAGCTCAGACGTGGTGTTCAGTGCAGGTTCCGACGGGTACTATACAGCTTAGCTGCTGCCTGAGCCCTACTAACATACGGGGCCTCGAAGCCTTAAACACCCCTATTACAGATCACTTATAGAACCCTTCAAAGGACCCCTTAAAGACCCCGATCACATATCCCTTATAGAACCCTTGAAAGGACCCCCTTTAGAGACACCTAAACACCGGCATGTGCAGCGAGACGAAAGCCACAAATGTCCTGCTGGGCTTGGATTATGGCTGGCTCGCTGCACTTCTTGGGCCCGCTGCGGGACGACTGGCCGCTTTGGCCAAAGGCGGGCTTTCGGGGCTGCAGGGCTTTGAGGGGTTTTAACACTTAATATAGGGTCCTTAATAATCACCTATACTAGTTTGGGGGTTTCTTATTAGAATTACAGTATAATGATGGGCCCCAAAACCCTATTCTAAGCTTCCAGGACACAGATTAGGCCCTCATTCCCTTTCCTTTTGCTTTAGGCTACCTTGCAACCCCCTTTAAACCAAAAAGGGCACCCTTTTAATTTTAGGTCTAGGCTTTGAGCTACGGGGTTTAGGGCTTTAAAATGGCCACTCAAGGATTCTAGGCTCTTGCATTCTGCTGAAGTTGTTGGAAGCTTTGATTCCTACGATGGCCTGCGCATGGTCGAAATGCGAGGGCGGGCGAGCAGACTGTAATGTGCGTATTCACCACAGCAGTTGCAAACGCGGAGCCGAGCCGGCGTTCAAGCATGGACAGCTTCAAGTGCAGCACGCAGTTCAAACCTTTGAGTTCTCTTGCGAGAGCTCTACGTTGTACACTTGCATACGTAGACCCCCAAGGAAGTCTTGAAGACAAAATTATTGTAGTATAGTTGTAACCACGCTGTAACATGCGGCCCCAAGGTATAGTAACAGTAGGATATCTTGAGGAGTTGAAGGGTCACACGTTTGCAGGTTTTCCTGCTGCCTTCAACGCAGAGCAGGCCGGGCAAGTGAGCTGCAACTGCAGCAGTCGAGATGACATGGCAAGGTGTCCCGTAAGAGGTCCTACAATTGAGCAGCTGGTTGGGGCTTAAGGCTGCGACATCTGTGCCGTCACTAGCTAGTTGTGCTTCGGTTAACTATCGTCTAGCCTGGGTATCCACCACATCTGTGCATCTAGTTGCAAAGGATTGTTGCTCATCTCAATGACAGTCCTGCTTGAAGCGACACGCCTCAGCCTCAAACTCTGCCTCGTGCCTTGAGCTAAGAGAACCACCGATTCTACAATGCAATGGATGCATAAGACAATCTGGTGCGACTGTCCGTGAGACTCCAGAAGCATCATGTTGCCGGCACTTGCATTCGTTGCTGAATCATTGCAGCATGATAATGATGTGCCACACGGGTGCTATTCTCAAAGTATCCCGTGTTCCGGATTATTCAGAGAGAGAGAGAGAGAGAGTCCCGTACACCTTCCAGCCCTGCCTTAGCCTTTACCCCGTATATATTATAGA